TTTTTTTTTTTTTTTTTAATATGTCTTTATTGATTTCAGAGAGAGGAAGGGAGAGAGAGAGATGGAAACATCAATGATGAGAGGGAGTCATTGATCAGTTGCCTCCTGCACGCCCCCTACTGGGAATTGAGCCTGAAACCCAGGCATGTGCCCTGACTGGGAATCAAACCTCGATCTCCTGGATCATAAATCAATGCTCAACCGCTGAGCCACATTGAAGGTCCAGAAATGCCTTCATTGTAATGCTCTCAGAGGTCATGGCTTGTCCTTTTAAATGACTCAGGACTACCATGTATTGCTTTCTTCATTAAAAAACAAACAACAAAAACTGTTCTTATCCAAATTTAATGGACCTGGAGTAGGATTTCAGGCACCTTAAAGTTGGAGATCAGCCTCCTCAATGCCAGGCTAATCTTTGTAGCAGTGGGGTGTCTTAGAGGCAAGTGAAGAACGTCTAGTTTTAAGTTTGGAACTGTTGGCAGTGCCGTTGTAGAGCTGTTTCTGTGCCTGTGCTGGGACATGCTTTTGGTTTTAGTTCTTTAGATTGGTGTTTCTCAAACTCGGGTCTGCTGCTACATCTTCAGATCTCTGAAACCAATAAGAGAAATTTTAATTTGTATTGGTTTTCCTTTTCCTATGGTAATCTAAAACCATTTTTAATTAGCTTTCTTTGGCAACTGTGATTCATAATTAAAAGAAATTTTCATTTCAGATGAGTTTGAATGAGCGTTCCTTAAACTAGAGTCTTAGAACACAGTGTTCAGCTTCTCAGAATACATAGTCTGAGGAGACTGCTTAGAACATTTATAACTCTCAAGGACTATTTTTAATTACTCTGTTTATTTTTTAAATTTTATTTTATTTTAGAGAGAGAAACATCATTGGTTGACTCCTGCATGGGCCCCAACTGGGGATCACACCTGCAGCCTGGGTATGCGCCCTGACCAGGAGTCAAATCCTCCACTTGTTGGTGTACGGAATGAGTCTCCAACCAACTGAACCACCCAGCCAGGGCTAATTACTCATTTTTACATCAAAAAAGAATCAAGATTTTTAAGAGGTCATGTGTTTTCAGACCTAATCATTTTATAGTAATAAAATCTCATTAAACTGAAGATTATAAAAACACTTTAGAAATACTTTTCTAGAAAGCATGTGTGATTTGATTGAAGGTGCTTTGAAATCTTTTGTTTACTCACTTTTTCTTTTTTCTTTTTTCTTTTTATAGATACTAAAATGGATCGTAAAGATAAGTTATTTGTGATTAATGAGGTAATTTTAGAAAGTAATTAAAATAAAATATTGTGGGAACACTACTTAAGAACAAACTATTTTAGAACACTAAAGATAATTCATTTTAAAAAGTCCGTTATTCAATGACTTTTACATTGTTTTATAAAGGATACTCAAAGAGACAAATTTTATTAACTTTTCACTAATCTACCTTCTAAATTTTTACAGTACTCACTGTCTGCATCTTATAGTTTAGTGCTTCATCATGTATTACTTGGTCATTTTTATGTTTATCTTGTTTCAACAAGCATATTGCTATTTCTTGCAGACAAGGACACTCATTTTTTTTCTCATGTGTAGTATAGTGCGAAATGCATACTTGGGTACACATAAAAAATTATCAGTCAACTGTAAGATAAAATGAAAAAACTCATTAAATATTTTTAAAACACCACATTGTAAAAAACATTTTGCCAGTATTAAAACTTGCTCTTAAGGTATTACCAGGTAGTAATGAGGTTAAATTTTCAAAGTGTTGTTGAAGAGACTAACCTTACATTTCAAAGCAGATTTTTTTAAAACTTAGAAGAATTTTTTAAAGATAATTTTCTTAGCTATTGGGTTTTTATTCATTTAGTACAAATTTTTGAACCTCTGCTATACCGTGACATTACATGCTGTGAAAACAGTGTTCTAAGGAGGAACACCCTATCACCAAGGAGCTTACATTCCAAGAAGGGAGCAGGCTGTACACAAGCCTTAGAATATTGGTGAATGGAGGAGAAATAAAGCAGGGTATACTCAAGCAGGGTGTGGGGTTTCCAGCAGCTAGGTTGGACTGGAAAACAGTCAATGCAGTGTTGCTGTGTTTATTCTAAGTCCAGTAAGAAACAAAAGCATTGGATCTAGGAATTTTTTAAGTTGTTAGGTTTGAAGTTTAGAGTTTATGAATACCAGATCATGTAGTTTATGAATACTACAATTGTATAGGACTTTATTCCTGTATTGCTTTTGTATATTTCCTGAGTCTTGCTTTGTAAACCTTCAAGATGTTGAAGTTTAATTCAACTTAAAATTTAGTTGTTGTGCACATCTGTTTTTCACCAATCCCTTAGTGATTTTACAGATCGAGACCACAGAAATGATAGTATAAATGAGGGAGAAAAAACTTGAATTTCTTGATCTTAAAAAACTGGAAGAGTTAAAAATCAGAATAACCATTATAAAGGATGTGTTTGGTTCTATAAGGACTGTATTTTCCAAAGAGTAGTGAGGCTAATTAGAGTGTGCTTTATCCCTCGGGCATCTCTTTCAGTCTTTGTAGCTTGTACATGGACTGATAAAAAGAGGTTCCCAGTAATTAGAAGTGAGGCCAGTTTACTTTAAAATGCTTGGCCAAAAAGAGTAGATGTTTACACCAAAGATGTAGGCAGAGAATCTAGTTTACCTTGGGCTGAATACCTGAGAGGAACTTGAAAGGTTTTCTTTTTGTGAGTAAATACAGTTACCTAGATTTATACCTTTGTAGTTCATTGATTTTCTTAAATATTTTTGGAACAATATAGGTATTAATTGCATTAGATCTCATTTCATCTACTTCATTTTTTCTATACTTTGCTCCATTTAGGTTTGTGAAATGAAAAATTGCAATAAATGTATCTATTTTGAAGCTAAGAAGAAACAAGACCTCTATATGTGGTAAGAGAATATTAAGTAAGATTGGGGCAGAACTTGTTCTTTTAAATGGACTACTCTTTGTACCTCAAGATTCCTTTCAGTCTTTTTTTTCTTTATCTTTTTTTCTTCCGGTAAAAAGACAGATGAAGTAAACTAATTTGATTTCACAAAAGTTGAAACCTTTAAGGAAAATTAAATATATGAATATTATAAGCACATTAGAGTATCTTTTAACTAGAAATAGAAAGTAAACATTTGCTACATTCTAAATTCTAATTAATAGAAAAAGCTTCCTTCATATTTTTTAGGCTTTCGAATTCACCTCATGGACCATCTGCTAAATTCCTAGTTCAAAATAGTAAGTTGACTCAATTTCAAATTATGAGAAAATTGAAAACCTTTTGGGATAATTGTGCCAAAGTTACAACTATTTTTTTCTGTTGTTACAATTTTTCTAGTTCATACCCTAGCTGAACTGAAGATGACTGGAAACTGTTTAAAAGGTTCTCGGCCCCTTTTGTCTTTTGACCCTGTAAGTTTTCCATTTAGTGTATGAAGTCTAACTTTCTTTTTATGATTATTTCTCATGGATATAGTTTATGACTCAATTTACTTAACATAAAAACAGTTTTAAACAAAGCACTTTGCTGTTGTCAAATAATACGTTCACTTTATTTTTATAGGCTTTTGATGAATTACCACATTATGCTTTGTTAAAAGAACTCTTAATTCAGGTAAATGTCTTTTCCAGAAAGTATTTTTGGTGATATTGTAAATGGGTGTCTTCCTTTGGACATTTTCTTCACTGAGCTATCTAAAACTAAAATGTATTGGATCGTAGAGTAAGGAACTAACATATCCTTTTTTTTTTTTCCTACTAGATCTTTAGCACACCACGGTATCATCCCAAAAGCCAACCATTTGTGGACCATGTGTTTACTTTCACTGTTTTGGATAATAGGATATGGTTTCGGAACTTTCAGGTTAGCTTTGATTAATATTTAATTATACTTTGAAATAAATTAGGACAAACAGTGCCACTATTTGTCTACTATATATTTAGTTTTTTAAAAAGAAAATAGTCTGAAGATCCACGAAGTAATTGAGTTCCAAATTTGTGCTAGGTGCTGTAAAGGATACAGTAAAATGTAAGCTGCTCTCATGAAGTTAGAATCTACCTGGTGCCGGGGGGTGGTTAAGATTTATAAAAACAACCTCTGTAGAAGGCATTTAATGAGAACTCTTAGATGAGTCATACAGTGACTCATTCAGGGGGAGAGGTGATTCTGGAAATCTTGAAGGAATTTGGCAGGATAATAAATCTGCAGAGAGATGGAAAAGAACATCATGGCAAAATTGCAGACAGCATGTGAAGCAAACTGGGCTCTTCTGTGTTATATTGGATACCTTGCAAAGGGGCTGCACCATAGCCCCTTCTTAACCTCTGGGGGCAGACAGATCTGAACCAATATACAGTGTTATTTGTTGTTCAGAAGTTGCTTCAATCAGTAGCCATTCAAAAAGAAATTTTATTATGTACTATTCTGTTATATACCTTTAATTTCATTTGAATTAGGTTTATAAAAACAACTTAGGGGTTGATTTAAATTTTTAAAGGGTTCCTGTAGTATGCTTCAATACATTTTGTTATAGTTCGCAGTTTTAAAAACATTTCAAAGACAGGTTTTCAAGAATCCGTGCATTGTGAGAGGCAAGGTACAAACCAAATTCAAGTTGCTCAGTTTTAAAAGAACACACTGAAAAATCTTTCTATTTCCTCATGACAACGACCTGTAACTAATACATCTCAGGAAATACGGATGATTTGGCACTTGCTAAGTTTCATCGCCACCTTAATTTTATTTTCAGTTTTTTTTAGGCACATTTGTAATAGGTTATAGCCAGTACTTTTAGGAATAGTATATCCAAACCAAAATGAAATGTGTTCTTTTTATTAAAGATCATAGAGGAAGATGCTGCTCTTGTAGAAATAGGACCTCGTTTCGTCTTAAATCTCATAAAGATTTTCCAGGGAAGTTTTGGAGGACCAACTTTATATGAAAATCCTCACTACCAGTCACCAAACATGGTAAGGGGTTTTTGTTGTTTAGCGGTCTTCCATGCTACAAAGTCTTTGGCCAAAATAATTCTGTCAAGTAATTACTATTCTGTTAACTGAATTTGGGTTTTGGTGAATACAGTCTTGCAAATTACTTTTTTTAATGATTTGGGATTAAGGGAAATAGGTTCATAATTAATGTCCTTCCACTACATATAAAATGTTTATTCATATTCTAAAAGCATCTAATATATTTTTGTTTCTAGCATCGGCGTATCATAAGATCTATCACAGCTGCAAAATACAAAGAGAAACAGCAAGTTAAAGAGGCACAGAAACTGAGAAAGAAAGAACCAAAGACTATTCTTCCACATGATCCCACAGCAGATGTTTTTGTTATACCAGCTGAGGAAAAACCGATAGAGATTCAGTGGGTGAAACCAGAGCCAAAAGTTGATTTGAAAGCAAGAAAGAAAAGGGTTTACAAAAGGCAAAGAAAAATGAAACAGAAAGTGAGCAGTGGAAATGCAAAATGAATCACTGGATACCTAATTTTATATTTATTTTGTATTCAATGTGTAAATACTTTTCAGGACTGTCTTACATCTAATTAGTGTGGCATTTAAAAGAAAATTAAAATCTGTGGCTTCAGTAGTATCTGTTTTTCTAAATAAAATATCACCAGAACTCATCAATTCTGTTTTTCTGTTCAAAGCTTATTTGGTATTACTAAAAATTTAGAGCACTTAAGGTTTAGGCCTGCCCTCTTGGATTAAAATTTTAGTTAAGCAAAGATGAAATTTAAACAGATTTATTGAGTCGTTACTTGTAAAACAATGCATTAGGCAGTTTGAGAGAAAGAGTTTTGGATGGTGAAGTGGGAGGTGACAGGAAGGAAAGTATCTTACTGGGGTTTGAGTCCCTGAGTCACCAATTAATGAGGCCTTGGACAAGCCAACCTCTGATCCTCTGATCTTGTTTTTTCACCTCAAAAAAGTACAATAAAAATGCTTACGTTTTGAGAATCAAGTGAGTTGATACATGTGTTGAAAGCATTTTGTAAATTACAAACTTATTTTAGAAGCAGTGGGTATAAATTACTTATTAAATTGATAGTAAAGGGAAGAAAAATGGGACAGTTGTTAGAGGGTACTAAAATATTTGAATTTCTCCCATCTTGGAGGTACATTAGTAATAGGGAAAGAGATTCTGGGTGCCAGTGGTCGTGGAGAGGTACCTGGCTGCTGAGGAGATAAACATACATGTATACATTATACAAACCTATGCATAACTAATAAAATTGGGTTGAGTATGTGGTATTCTGTCATCCGCTTTATTTCACATTAATCATTTTCCCATGTCCATGTTCTACAATATAGTAATTGCACAGTATTCCACTCTAGATGTCAGTCTTATTGATGGATATTAAGTATTTCAGTTATATCTTCTAGAGGTACTTGAACCAGCATTGCTATACACAATTATTTGTACATTTGTGGTTTCCTGTAAGTGAAACTCAGGTCAGAGGTGGTGAATACTAAAACATTTTGATTGTTCCTCTAAATACTGTACCTCACCAGAGGTTAGAGCATTCATTTCCTTGTACCTTTCCCAATGTTGAAACAATCTTTGTCTTTGTCAATTGTTTAGGTAAAAAGAAATTAATACTATTTTTTTGGTTAGGTATTATTTTTCTTTTGTGACTAATCTTGTTTGGGGGGGTGGTTATTTTTAGTTTTAGTTTTTACTAATTAGAGCTCTTATATAGTAAGTTCATTCTGAACATCTTTCCTAGTTCTTCACTTGGGTTTTAATTTTGCCTTAATTTTAAATATATGGGCAGGATGATCAATTTTTCATTATATTTCATTTTCTCTTAATTTTCTGCTACAAACTGTCTTCCTGAGCGTCTAATTAGGCTACTTGGTCTTGAAATAGTCTAAATGAAGCTACTTGAAATCTAAATTACGCAGGTAATTCAGGTCAGGTTATCTTGATATACTGAAGGCCAAATTTGGTTAAGTGCAAAAAACCCAAAAAACAGTATTTTAGGCAATTAAATCTGGCCTTGGATAGAAATAACTATTCAGGATTTATTTTGAAACATCCACATCTCAAGAAGTTTATTGTAGGTTATATACATAACCAGGGTCAACAAGTTGTGAAATTTGAAGACAGTACTTTTTGATGTGTGTGTGGTAGAGTTTCTGTGGAATTTCCAATTTGGCAACTTTATCAGTTTCCACATTTTCCTGTTCCAAATTCTCTTTCACAGTCATTTATATATGAATACCTCATTTGGTTGAGAATTCCTCATCTCCCATGTCCATGTTCATTTAGAAGCCAACCTATTTAATAAAGGTGTTACTTTAGACTGAAATTTATATCTAGTGTAATTAAATTTTCTATGCAATGTTACAGGCAAAAATAGATCCCTTTTCCTCAGAGGGAAAAAAGCAAGTGACTTTAAAAGCAAAATTATATGTAGTTGAAAGAAGAGTCTTGTCGCTTTTTGCTGCCCCCCCCCCATCCCCAACATGCAATGCCATTCTCTCAGATGGGGGAATGTTGCCACTTTTTCCCTGCATTCAAACTTCTCAATTCCTATGCATTAGCAATTTTAAAGTCAAGGCCATACAGTATCTTCTTTCTTTGGAAAACAGTTAAGTTTATGAATTCTGAGTATAGAGATTTGGTTGGACAGTGGTGTGTGGAGAAACTTTATGAGGTTTAGAGTGGGTTTGTTTTGATAGTGCAGGGAGCAGGATATTAGGGAGAAAGGGACAATCTTCCTAAACTTCGGATGCTCCAACCCTGTACGATAGATGTTGCGGAGCCAACTCTTCTCTAACCGTACATGGTTGACAAATATAACCTATACATAGTAGCTGACGTATGTAAACAGTCCACATTACAGTGAAATGTATTGCTGTGTTGGTGCATTTTAATGACAATTAGGATACTATTTTGACACCTTATCAAATTATTTGGAACAGTTATACAGATCTTCCAACCTGTAATAGAGTGTATCTGTTAGATCAAGGAAAACCTAGTTAAATTCTATGCCTTAACTGCAATTCTTAACCTAAACCAACCTTGGAAATGTAGGATTAGAGGCCAAAAAGTTAGGATTAGCGAGTGATGGATGGATGGGTCACACAATTTCATCCATATTGGTGGTAAGACATATAGTATGCTATTTTGAAAAGTGTTGATGCTTCCCTCTTAAATTGTTTAAGTCATCTTATTTGCTGTTATTCCTATACATATTGGTCAACATGGGAAATAGTAGAGGTCGCATTAAGCGGCAGCTGAAGAGAACTGAAGAGTTAAAAAACTAGTTTTTAATTGTTCGGTCCAACCGAATCCCGCTTGAGCCAACCACTGGGCGACTTCCGGCCGGAGTTGCCTCATCTGTAAGAAATTATCAGCATCACAACATGCTTTCCAGTATCTTCTTCCACCCGTCCCAGCCCTCAGGACGTCTGCCCAGTTGGCGCCACTGACACTGGCCGCCCTCTGTGCCCCTCACAA